CCCTGTTGTCCAGCCTCATCTAATAACCTCTACATTTTGCATTCACAGAAACCACACTAAATGACTAGAGTGTCCCTGATCTTCTCCTGTTTTCTCATGCTTCCTTAGTTTTTATATTTGCTACTTTATTCTTAGATGAAAACCCAATTCTTTACTTTGGCCTCAATAATTCCTCTGTAACTGAACGGATAAAGAAAATTCAATGTGGTATATATATACACAATGGGATATTATTCAGCCACAAAGAAGAATGAAATTATTACATTTGCTGAAAAATGGATGGAACTGGAGAATATCATGCTAAGTGAAATAAGCCAGTCCCAAAGACCTCAAGGCCAAATGTTCTCCCTGATATGTGGATGGTAACCCACTACAAGGGAGTATAGGGAGAGGAAGAACAGAAGTTCATTAGATTAGACAAAGGGGAATGAAGGGAAAAGAGTGGGGATGGGAATAGGAAAGACAGTGAAAGTTATAAATTGGACATAACTTTCCTAGGTTCATAAATGAATACATGACCAGTATAATTCTACATCATGTACAACCAAAAGAATAATATCATAATTAGAATAATATTCCATGTATGTATAATATGTCATGTATGTCTAAAAAGAACAACTAATAAATAAATAAGTATAATTCCTCTGTAAGATCTGATTCAACTATTGTCTTTCCTGAGAAGATATCCTTCTCAGGACAGTTCCTATTCTAAGAACACCTTATATGTATGAACAAAGTACATATTACATGATAGTTATCACTTAATCTAGAGGCTGTAACATTATGTTTGATTATCTATAGTTGCAAACTGTGTCTGAGGCAGAACAGAAACAGAGTGACAGCAGCTAGGTGAATAAATACAACATGAATCAGTGCACTCTGACAATGTTGAAATTACAGGACCCAACTTTTTTTTTTTTTAAAGTCCATTTTTCCCACTGTATAGCAATACTTGAATAAAATATCATTAAATCCAAAAAATAGCTAGCTGTGTAATATACTATATTAAAACCCAAATGCTCGAATTTAAATATAGTAGTCACTCTTCTTTCATAGATCAAATCTTATAGGTTTAACTATCTGAAAACGATCCTAATATTAATTGTAGTAACTTGTAGTTCAAATTGTAGCACAAATTGAGGCCACAGGGTTGGGGTTCAAACAAGAGTTAATCAGTGATTGAATCCTATACTCACACAGCATATGTTATGTTTTAGTTTTAGGTAGAATAAAATGCAAAACTAATTTTGACATCAAAAATTGGTATCAGGTTGGTATTTTATCTTTTTGTGTTTTATGGGAAACTACCCAAGTGACACCATATGGTAGTGGTGATGTCAAGAGATGAACTTTATTATAAAGATATAGAATTTCTAGTTACAAGGAATAACAAATCCAGTGGCAGCTTGGTTCTGTAATATGAATTAAGTTCCCTAGATATTTCATACTGAAATTAGAAAAGGTGGTTCTTTAAATTGTGAATGATCTATTGCCCACCTCCCAAATTTCATTAAATGAGAGAGAAAACTTTATCTAACATTCAAAAGTGGCATAATTTGGGGCAGGAGTTGTGGTTCAGTGGTACAATGCTTGCCTGGCATGTGTGACACCCTGGATTCATTCCTTGGCACCACACATAAATAAATAAAATAAAAGATCCACTTACAACTAAAAAAATTATTTTTTAAAGTGGCATAATTTACTTAATGGCCTTGTAAGTTACTTTAGCCTTTTACTACTTCAATCATTTACTAACTCTGAAGTTATTCCTTAAAGTTTTAGTTTTATTTGATTGATGATAAACAAAACAAAGAAGGTATAATGATATCTATAGTCTACTGCTTCCTGGTCATCCAAGATTAAGTACAGAGAAATCTTGAATACTTATTATATATTG